GTTGATGATGATCATGCTGCTGCTGATGATGATGATGATGCTGCTGCTGATGATGATGTTGCTGCTGCTGATGATGATGATGATGTTGCTGCTGATGATGCTGCTGGGTGTCCAGGTGGTGCGTAGGGCCGTGGCCAGTCAGCCTACTCTGCCTGACGTGACGGAGCGCGCTGAGAAGTTCCGGCAGAAGTTCTCAAACAAGCTGGAGACGCTGACACTTCAACCCTGGTCACCACCACCACAACCACAACCACCACAACCACCACCACAACCACCCCAACCACCACCACAACCACCACCACAACAACCACCACAAACACCAACACCAAACCCAACCACACCACCACCATACCAACCACCACCAGCACCACCACAAGCACCACCACCACCAGCACCCCCACCATCACCACCACAACCACAACCATCACCACCAGCACAACCACAACAACCACCATCACAACCACCACAACCACCATCACGACCACCACAACCACAACCACCACCACAACAACCACCACAACCACCACCACAACCATCACCACAACCACCATCACCACCATCACCACCACAACCACCACAACCACCACAACCACAACAACCACAACAACCACCATCACGACCACCACAACCATCACCACCACAACAACCACCACAACCACCACAACCACAACAACCACCATCACAACCACCACAACCACCATCACGACCACCACAACCACCACCACGACCACCACAACCACCATCACCACAACCATCACCACCACAACCACAACCATCACCACCAGCACAACCATCATCACCGCAACCATCATCACCACCACCACAACCACCACAACGACCACCACAGCCACCACCATCACCACAACCATCACCACCACCACAACCACCACAACCATCACCACCACCACAACCATCACCACCACAGCCATCACCACCACAACCATCACCACCACAACCATCACCACCACAACCACCACAACAACCACCATCACCACCACCACAACCATCACCACAACCACAATAACCACCATCACCATCACCACCACAACAACGACCACCACAACCACCACAACCACAACAACCACCATCACGACCACCACAACCACCATCACCACCACAACCATCACCACCAGCACAACCACAACAACAACCACCATCACGACCACCACCACCACAACCATCGCCACCACAACCACCACCACAACCATCACCACCACCACAACCACCACAACAACAACCACCACAACCACCACCACAACCACCACAACCATCACCACCACCACAACCACCACTACAACCACCACAACCATCACCACCACAACCACCACAACCACAACCACCACAACCATCATCACCACCACCACAACCACCACCATCACCACAACCATCACCACCACCACAACCACCACAACCATCACCACCACCACAACCATCACCACCACAACCTTCACAACCACAGCCATCACCACCACAGCCATCACCACCACAACCATCACCACCACAACCATGACCACCACAACCATCACCACCACAACCATCACCACCACCACAACCATCACCGCCACAACCACCACAGCTATCACCACCACAACCACCACCACAACCATCACCACCACCACAACCATCACCACCACCACAACCATCACCACCACCACAACCACAACCATCACCACCACAACCATCACCACCACTACAACCATCACCACCACCACAACCACCACAACCATCACCACAACCATCACCACCACCACAACCACCACAACCATCACCACCACCACAACCATCACCACCACAACCTTCACCACCACAACCTTCACCACCACAACTACAACCATCACCACCCCAACCATCAGCACCACAACCCCAACCATCAGCACCACAACCATCACGACCACAACCATTACCACCACCACAACCATCACCGCCACAACCACCACAACCATCACCACCACAACCATCACCACCACCACAACCATCACCGCCACAACCACCACAACCAGTGTAGTGTAGTAGCAGTGTAATGTCTAGTGTAGTAGTGTGTAGTAGTGTAGTGTATAGTGTAGTAGTGTGTAGTAGTGTATAGTGTAGTGTATAGTGTAGTAGTGGTTGGTGTACTGTATAGTGTAGTAGTGTATAGTGTAGTGTCTAGTAGTGTATAGTGTAGTGTGGTGTCTAGTAGTGTCTATTGTACAGTGTAGTGTGTAGTAGTGTATTGTAGTAGTGTATAGTGTAGTGTCTAGTAGTGTATAGTAGTTGTAGTGTATAGTGTAGTGTATAGTTGTGTTGTAGTGTATTAGTGTAGTGTGTAGTAGTGTATTGTAGTAGTAGTGTATAGTAGTGTAGTAGTTTGTAGTGTATAGTAGTGTAGTAGTATACAGTGCAGTGTGTAGTGTATTGTAGTTGTAGTGTATAGTGTAGTGTATAGTAGTGTATAGAGTAGTGTAGTAGAGTAGTGTATAGTGTATAGTGTCGTAGTGTATAGTGCAGTGTATAGTAGTGTAGTAGTGTGTAGTGTAGTAGTAGTGTATAGTGTAATAGTGTTTAGTGTAGTAGTGTATAGTGTAGTAGTGTATAGTGTGTCGTGTATAGTGTAGTAGTGTATAATATATAACACTATAATATATATCATAGTGAGTGTCTGTGTGTCACAGTGTAGTGTATAGTGTGTTTAATACTATACAATATATCATAGTGAGTGTCTGTGTGTGTCTGTGTATCTGTGTGTGTGTCTGTGTGTGTGTGTCTATGTCTGTATATATGTGTGTGTCTATGTCTGTGTGTGTGTCTGTGTGTCTACGTGTCTGTGTGTCCGTGTGTGTCTGTGTGTCTGTGTGTGTGTGTCTGTGTGTCTATGTCTGTATCTATGTGTGTGTCTATGTCTGTGTGTGTCTACATGTGTCTGTGCGTGTCTGTCTGTGTGTGTCACAGTGTAGTAGTGTAGTATAGTGTAGTGTATAACACTATATATAATGTATATCATAGTGAGTCTGTGTGTCACAGTGTAGTAGTGTAGTATAGTGTAGTTTATAACACTATATAATGTATATCATAGTGAGTCTGTGTGTCACTGTGTGTGTGTCACAGTGTAGTAGTGTAGTGTATCACACTATATATAATGTATATCATAGTGAATGTCTGTGTGTCACTGTGTGTCACTGTGTGTGTGTGTGTGTCTCTGTATGTGTCACTACGTGTGTATCTCTGTGTGTCACTGTGTGTGTATCACTATGTGTGTATCTCTGTGTGTCACTGTGTGTGTGTCTGTGTGTGTGTGTGACTGTGTGTCACTGTGTGTGTGTGTGTGTGTCACTGTGTGTATCACTATGTGTGTATCTCTGTGTGTCACTATGTGTGTGTCAGTGTGTGTGTGTGTCTGTGTGTGTGACTGTGTGTGTGTCACTGTGTGTGTGTGTGTCTGTGTGTGTCACTATGTGTGTATCTCTGTGTGTCACTGTGTGTGTGTATCTCTGTGTGTCTCTGTGTGTATCACTATGTGTGTATCTCTGTGTGTCACTGTGTGTGTGTCAGTGCATGTGTGTGACTGTGTGTGTGTCACTGTGTGTGTGTATCTCTGTGTGTGACTGTGTGTGTGTCACTGTGTGTGTATCTCTGTGTGTCACTGTGTGTGTGTCAGTGTGTGTGTGTGTCTGTGTGTGTGACTGTGTGTGTGTGTCTCTGTGTGTGTCACTATGTGTGTATCTCTGTGTGTCACTGTGTGTGTGTCAGTGTGTGTGTGTCTGTGTGTGTGTGTATCTCTGTGTCTGTGTGTGTGTGTCTCTGTGTGTCACTGTGTGTGTGTGTCTGTGTGTGCACTTGCCCCTACAGTCTGTTAAGGCTATATGGGGGATCTTTATCTTTTTGTGTCTGTGTGTATCGCTATGTGTGTATCTCTGTGTGTCACTGTGTGTGTGTCACTGTGTGTATCACTATGTGTGTATCACTTTGTGTCACTGTGTGTCACTGTGTGTGTGTCACTGTGTGTATCACTATGTGTGTGTCTGTATGTGTCACTGTGTGTGTGTCACTGTGTGTGTATCACTGTGTGTGTATCACTGTGTGTGTATCTCTGTGTGTGTATCTCTGTGTGTGTCACTGTGTGTGTCACTGTGTGTGTGTCACTGTGTGTGTATCTCTGTGTGTGTCACTGTGTGTGTGTCACTGTGTGTGTATCTCTGTGTGTGTCACTGTGTGTGTGTCACTGTGTGTGTGTGTGTCACTGTGTGTATCACTGTGTGTGTCTGTATGTGTCACTGTGTGTGTGTGTCACAGTGTGTGTCACTGTGTGTGTGTGTCACAGTGTGTATCACTGTGTGTGTGTGTCACTGTGTGTGTGTGTGTCACTGTGTGTATCACTGTGTGTGTCACTGTGTGTGTGCCACTGTGTGTGTGTGTGTCACAGTGTGTATCACTGTGTGTGTCTGTATGTGTCACTGTGTGTGTGTGTCACAGTGTGTGTCACTGTGTGTGTGTGTCACAGTGTGTATCACTGTGTGTGTGTGTCACTGTGTGTGTGTGTGTGTCACTGTGTGTATCACTGTGTGTGTCACTGTGTGTGTGCCACTGTGTGTGTGTGTCACAGTGTGTATCACTGTGTGTGTCTGTATGTGTCACTGTGTGTGTGTGTCACAGTGCCTATGGGTCTCTGACGGTGAGGAGTTTGCTGGACACGAGGGAGCATTGCCTCCTGGAGTTCGACTTCCCGGACCCCTACTCCAAGGTGACTCCTCCACCGTGGGACCACTCGCTCCTCCACCGTGGGACCACTCCACGATGGGACCACTCACTCCTCCACTGTGGGACCACTCGCTCCTACACCGTGGGACCACTCCACGATGGGACCACTCACTCCTCCACTGTGGGACCACTCGCTCCTACACCGTGGGACCACTCCACGATGGGACCACTCACTCCTCAACCGTGGGACCACTCGCTCCTCCACCGTGGGACCACTCCACGATGGGACCACTCACTCCTCCACCGTGGGACCACTCGCTCCTACATCGTGGGACCACTCCACGATGGGACCACTCACTCCACGATGGGACCACTCACTCCTCCACCGTGGGACCACTCGCTCCTCCACCGTGGGACCACTCCACGATGGGACCACTCACTCCACGATGGGACCACTCGCTCCTCCACCGTGGGACCACTCCACGATGGGACCACTCACTCACTCCACGATGGGACCACTCACTCCTCCACCGTGGGACCACTCGCTCCTCCACCGTGGGACCACTCCACGATGGGACCACTCACTCACTCCACGATGGGACCACTCCTCCACCGTGGGACCACTCGCTGCTCCACCGTGGGACCACTCCACGATGGGACCACTCACTCACTCCACGATGGGACCACTCACTCACTCACTCCACGATGGGACCACTCACTCCTCCACCGTGGGACCACTTGCTCCCCTGCTCCACGGTGGGACCACTCCTCAACCCTTACGACCACTCGCTCCTCTGCGGTGAGACCATTCGCTCCTCCACCTCAGCGCGCCGTTCACGCACTCCTCCACCGTGGGACCACTCGCTCCTCCACCGTGGGACCACTCCTGCATGGTCAGGGACAACTCCTCGACCGTGGGACCATTCCTCCGCCGTGGGACCCACGCCTCCACCGTTTGACCCACTCCTCCACCGTGGGGCCCACCGCCACCCCTAATTCCTCGTGCCCCTCCCCCCTTGCCCCGCCCCTCCCCCCTTGCCCCGCCCCTCCCTTGCCCCGCCCTCCCTTGCCCCGCCCCTCCCTTGCCCCGCCCCTCCCTTGCCCTGCCCTCCCTTGCCCCTCCCCTCCCTTGCCCCGCCCTCCTCCTGGCCCCGCCCCTCCTCCTTGCCCCGCCCCTCCTCCTTGCCCCGCCCTCCTCCTGGCCCCGCCCCTCCTCGTTGCCCCGCTCCTCCTTTCTTGCCCAGCCCCTCCCTCCCTTGCCCCGCCCCTCCCTTGCCCCTCCCTTGCCCCTCCCTTGCCCCTCCCTTGCCCCTCCCTTGCCCCTCCCTTGCCCCTCCCTTGCCCCTCCCTCCCTTGCCCCGCCCTCCTGCTTGCCCCGCCCCTCCTCCTTGCCCCGCCCTCCTCCTGGCCCCGCCCTCCTCCTTGCCCCACCCCTCCTTCTTGCCCCGCCCTCATCCTTGCCCCGCCCTCCTTCTGGCCCCGCCCTCCTCCTGGCCCCGCCCTCCTCCTGGCCCCGCCCCCACCAGGTGAAGCAGGTGGAGAATGACGCGGCGCTGCGCCGGCTGCCGCCGGTTCTCGCCGCTCTGGACCGCCTCTCCTGGGGGGCCCGGCAGATGGCGCTAGTCAGGGGCCTGCTGGCGGGCAACGTCTTCGATTGGGGGGCACAGGCGGTCAGCACGTGGGTACACGGCACCCCGCCGCCACCCACACCACCGTCCACACACACACCACCCACACACACACACCACACACACCACCACCACCACCCACACACACACACACCACACACACACACACACACTGCCACCCACACCACCACCACACACACACACACACCACCACACACATCACACACACCACCACACACACCGCCACCCACACCACCACCACCACCACACACACACCACACACACATCACACACACCACCACCCACACCACCACACACACACCACACACACCACCACCCACACACACACACCACCACCCACACACACACACCGCCACCCACACCACCACCACCCACACACACCATCCACACCACCACCCACACCACCCACACACACATACACACACACACCACCCACACACACGCACCACCACACACACACCACTACACACACACCACCACACACACACCACCACACACCACCACCCACCAACACACCACACACCGCCACCCACACCACCCACACACACCACCACACACACACACACACCACCCACACACACACACACCACCCACACACACGCACACCACCCACACACACGCACCACCACACACGCACCACCACACACACACCACCACACACACACACCACCACACACACCACCACACACACCACACACACACCACCACCACACACACCACCACACACACACACCACACACACACACCACCACCCACACCACCACCCACACACACACACCACCCACACACACCACCCACACCACCACACACACACCACCCACACACACCACCCACACCACCCACAAACACACCAATACCACCCACACACAACCACCCACACACACACACCATCCACACCACCACCCACACCACCACCATCGACACCACCACCACCCACACCACCAACACCCACACACACCACACACACCACCACCCACACACACCACCACCCACACCACCCATACACACCACCACCCACACCACCACCCACCCACACCACCCACACAACCACCACCCACACACACCACCACCCACACCACCACTACCCACACCACCCACACCACCACCCACACCACCACCCACACCACCACCCACACACACACACCATCCACACCACCACCCACACCACCACCATCGACACCACCACCCACACCACCCCACACACACACACCACCCCCCACCCACCACCCCCCACACCACCCACACACACCACCACCCACACCACCACCCACACCACCACCCACACCACCCATACACACCACCACCCACACCACCACCCAAACCACCCACACACACCACCACCCACACCACCACCCACACAACCACCACCACCACCCACACACACCACCACCCCACCACCACTACCCACACCACCCACACCACCACACACACCACCACACACACACACCACACACACCACCCACAAACACCCCAATACCACCCACACACACACACCACCACCCACACACACCACCCACACACACCACCACCCACACCACCACCACCACCCACACACACCACCACCCACACCACCACCCACACCACCACCACCCACACCACCACCCACACACACCACCACCCACACACACCACCACACACACCACCACCCACACCACCACTCACCCACACCACCACCCCCACCCCCACCCACACCACCACCCACACCACCACACACCACCCAACCACACCAAACACCCACCACACACACACCACCCCCCACACCCCACCCACACACACCACACACACCACCCACACACACCACACGCACACCACACACACACCACCACCCACACCACCAACCACACACACCACCACCACCCACACCACACACACACACACACACACCACACACACACGCCACCCACACACACCGCCACCCACACCAACACCCACACACACACACCACCACCCACACCAACACCCACACACACCACCACACACACACACCGCCACCCACACACACCACCACCCACACCAACACCCACACACACACACCACCACGCACACCACACACACACACCACCACCCACACCAACACCCACACCACCACCCACACCACCACCCACACCGCCACCCACACCGCCACACACACACACCGCCACCACCCACACCACCACCCACACCAACACCCACACACACCACCACCCACACCACCACCCACACAACCACCACCACCCACACCACCGCCACCACCCACACCACCACTACCCACACCACCACCCACACCACCACTACCCACACCACCCACACCACCACTACCCACACCACCCACACCACCACCCACACCACCACTACCCACCCCCAACGCTGTGGGTGAGTGGGTACACGGCACTTCGCTGTCATTTTCATCGGTCAGCTCCTATGTGGGTGGGTGGGTGGGTGAGTGGGTGGGTGAGTGGGTGGGTGAGTGGGTGGGTGAGTGGGTGGGTGGGTGAGTGGGTGAGTGGGTGGTTGGGTGGGTGGGTGAGTGGGTGGGTGAGTGGGTGGGTGAGTGGGTGGGTGAGTGGGTGAGTGGGTGGGTGGGTGGGTGAGTGGGTGGGTGGGTGGGTTGGTGAGTGAGTGGGTGGGTGGGTGGGTGAGTGAGTGGGTGGGTTGGTGAGTGGGTGGGTGGGTGCGTTGGTGGGTGAGGTGGTGGGTTGGTGGGTAGGTGAGTGGGTTGGTGGGTGAGTGGGTATTTTGGTGAGTGGGTGGGTTGGTGAGTGGGTAGGTCAGTGAGTGGGTGGGTGGGTAGGTGAGTGGGTGGGTGAGTGGTGGGTGGGTGAGTGGGTGGGTGGGTGAGTGGGTGGGTGGGTGGGTGAGTGGGTGGGTGGGTGGGTGGGTGAGTGGGTGGGTGGGTGGGTGGGTGAGTGGGTGGGTGGGTGGGTGAGTGGGTGGGTGGGTGGGTGGGTGAGTGGGTGGGTGGGTGGGTTGGTGGGTGGGTGGGTTGGTGGGTGGGTGGGTGGGTGAGTGGCTGGGTGAGTGGGTGAGTGGCTGGGTGAGTGGGTGAGTGGGTGGTTGAGTGGGTGGTTGAGTGAGTGGGTGGGTGAGTGAGTGGGTGGGTGGGTGAGTGGGTGGGTGGGTGGGTGAGTGGGTGGGTGAGTGGGTGGGTTGGTGAGTGGGTGGGTGGGTGAGTGGGTGGGTTGGTGAGTGGGTGGGTGAGTGGGTGGGTGAGTGGGTGGGTTGGTGGGTGGGTGAGTGGGTGGGTTGGTGGGTGAGTGGGTGGGTTGGTGGGTGAGTGAGTGGGTTGGTGGGTGGGTGGGTGAGTGGGTGGGTTGGTGGGTGAGTGGGTGGGTTGGTGGGTGAGTGGCTGGGTTGGTGGGTGAGTGGCTGGGTTGGTGGGTGGGTGGGTGGGTTGGTGGGTGGGTGGGTGACGGACCTCATTCTCTAGCCATGACACCTACTGGGTCTGTCCCGTGACCTCCTCCTGCACCTAGCCTGGCACAGCAGTCAACCCACGGCACCCGCTGGGTCTGTCATGTGACCTCCTCCTGCCAGCAGCGAGCCTTCGACACGTCACGTGACATCGGGGGGGTGCACCTAGCCTGGCACAGGCTCGGGTGTTGAGTAACTGCTGCCGCGTGCTCCGCTGTTGACATGATGCAGGGTGCTGGAGTCAAATCCACACTTCGGATTTGAAGAGGCCAAGGAAAAGCTACAAGGTAGGGGGGGGACGTGTGTGTGTCACTGTGTGTGTGTGTGTGTCACTGTGTGTGTCACTGTGTGTGTCACTGTGTGTGTGTGTCACTGTGCGTGTGTGTGTGTCACTGTGTGTGTCACTGTGTGTGTCACTGTGTGTGTGTGTCACTGTGCGTGTGTGTGTGTCACTGTGTGTGTGTGTCACTGTGTGTGTCACTGTGTGTGTGTGTGTGTCACTGTGTGTGTCACTGTGTGTGTCACTGTGTGTGTGTGTCACTGTGCGTGTGTGTGTGTCACTGTGTGTGTGTGTCACTGTGTGTGTCACTGTGTGTGTGTCACTGTGTGTGTGTCACTGTGTGTGTGTCACTGTGTGTGTGTGTCACTGTGTGTGTGTCACTGTGTACGTGTGTGTCACTGTGTGTGTGTGTCACTGTGTACGTGTGTCACTGTGTACGTGTGTGTCACTGTGTGTGTGTGTGTCACTGTGTGTGTGTGTCACTGTGTGTGTGTGTGTACGTGTGTGTGTCACTGTGTGTGTGTCACTGTGTGTGTGTCACTGTGTGTGTGTGTCACTGTGTGTGTGTCACTGTGTACGTGTGTGTCACTGTGTACGTGTGTGTCACTGTGTGTGTGTGTCACTGTGTACGTGTGTGTCACTGTGTGTGTGTGTCACTGTGTGTGTGTGTGTACGTGTGTGTGTCACTGTGTGTGTGTACGTGTGTGTGTGTCACTGTGTGTGTGTGTGTACGTGTGTGTGTCACTGTGTGTGTGTGTGTACGTGTGTGTCACTGTGTGTGTGTGTACGTGTGTGTCACTGTGTGTGTGTGTACGTGTGTGTCACTGTGTGTGTGTACGTGTGTGTGTCACTGTGTGTGTGTGTCACTGTGTGTGTGTGTCACTGTGTGTGTGTGTGTCACTGTGTGTGTGTGTCACTGTGTGTGTGTCACTGTGTGTGTGTCACTGTGTGTGTGTCACTGTGTGTGTGTGTCACTGTGTGTGTGTCACTGTGTGTGTGTCACTGTGTACGTGTGTGTCACTGTGTGTGTGTGTCACTGTGTGTGTGTGTCACTGTGTACGTGTGTGTCACTGTGTGTGTGTGTCACTGTGTGTGTGTGTGTACGTGTGTGTGTCACTGTGTGTGTGTACGTGTGTGTCACTGTGTGTGTGTGTGTACGTGTGTGTGTCACTGTGTGTGTGTGTGTGTACGTGTGTGTGTCACTGTGTGTGTGTACGTGTGTGTCACTGTGTGTGTGTGTACGTGTGTGTGTCACTGTGTGTGTGTGTGTGTGTACGTGTGTGTGTCACTGTGTGTGTGTGTGTACGTGTGTGTCACTGTGTGTGTGTGTACGTGTGTGTGTCACTGTGTGTGTGTGTGTATACGTGTGTGTCACTGTGTGTGTGTGTGTACGTGTGTGTGTCACTGTGTACGTGTGTGTGTACGTGTGTGTCACTGTGTGTGTGTCACTGTGTGTGTGTCACTGTGTGTGTGTCACTGTGTGTGTGTGTCACTGTGTGTACGTGTGTGTCACTGTGTGTGTGTGTCACTGTGTGTACGTGTGTGTCACTGTGTGTACGTGTGTGTCACTGTGTGTGTGTGTACGTGTGTGTGTCACTGTGTGTGTGTGTACGTGTGTGTGTCACTGTGTGTGTCACTGTGTGTGTGTCACTGTGTGTGTCACTGTGTGTGTGTCACTGTGTGTGTGTCACTGTGTGTGTGTGTGTCACTGTGTGTACGTGTGTGTCACTGTGTGTGTGTGTGTGTCACTGTGTGTATGTGTCACTGTGTGTGTGTCACTGTGTGTATGTGTCACTGTGTGTGTGTCACTGTGTGTACGTGTGTGTCACTGTGTGTGTGTGTGTACGTGTGTTTGTCACTGTGTGTACGTGTGTGTGTCACTGTGTGTGTGTGTGTGTCACTGTGTGTGTGTGTGTACGTGTGTTTGTCACTGTGTGTACGTGTGTGTGTCACTGTGTGTGTGTGTGTCACTGTGTTTGTGTACGTGTGTGTGTCACTGTGTGTGTGTGTGTACGTGTGTGTGTCACTGTGTGTGTGTGTGTACGTGTGTGTCACTGTGTGTGTGTGTACGTGTGTGTGTCACTGTGTGTGTGTGTGTGTATACGTGTGTGTCACTGTGTGTGTGTGTACGTGTGTGTGTCACTGTGTGTGTGTGTGTACGTGTGTGTCACTGTGTGTGTGTCACTGTGTGTGTGTCACTGTGTGTGTCACTGTGTGTGTGTGTCACTGTGTGTACGTGTGTGTCACTGTGTGTACGTGTGTGTCACTGTGTGTGTGTGTCACTGTGTGTGTGTGTCACTGTGTGTGTGTGTGTCACTGTGTGTGTGTCACTGTGTGTACGTGTGTGTCACTGTGTGTGTACGTGTGTGTACGTGTGTTTGTCACTGTGTGTGTACGTGTGTGTACGTGTGTTTGTCACTGTGTGTACGTGTGTTTGTCACTGTGTGTACGTGTGTGTGTCACTGTGTGTACGTGTGTGTGTCACTGTGTGTGTGTCACTGTGTGTGTGTCACTGTGTGTGTGTGTCACTGTGTGTGTGTGTCACTGTGTGTGTGTGTCACTGTGTGTGTGTCACTGTGTGTGTGTGTGTCACTGTGTGTATGTGTCACTGTGTGTGTGTCACTGTGTGTACGTGTGTGTCACTGTGTGTGTACGTGTGTGTATCACTGTGTGTGTCACTGTGTGTGTACGTGTGTGTATCACTGTGTGTGTGTGTGTGTACGTGTGTTTGTCACTGTGTGTACGTGTGTGTGTCACTGTGTGTGTGTGTCACTGTGTGTGTGTACGTGTGTGTGTCACTGTGTGTGTGTACGTGTGTTTGTCACTGTGTGTACGTGTGTGTGTCACTGTGTGTGTGTGTGTGTGTCACTGTGTTTGTGTACGTGTGTGTGTGTCACTGTGTGTGTGTATGTGCTTGTGTGTCACTGTGTGTGTGTCACTGTGTGTGTACGTGTGTGTCACTGTGTGTCACTGTGTGTGTGTACGTGTGTGTGTCACTGTGTGTGTGTACGTGTGTGTGTGTCACTGTGTGTGTCACTGTGTACGTGTGTGTGTGTCACTGTGTGTGTGTCACTGTGTGTCACTGTGTGTGTGTCACTGTGTGTGTGTGTGTGTCACTGTGTACGTGTGTGTCACTGTGTGTGTGTGTCACTGTGTGTGTGTGTCACTGTGTGTGTGTGTCACTGTGTGGGTGTGTCACTGTGTGTGTGTGTCACTGTGTGTGTGTGTGTACGTGTGTGTGTCACTGTGTGTGTGTGTACGTGTGTGTCACTGTGTGTGTGTACATGTGTGTGTCACTGTGTGTGTGTGTACGTGTGTGTGTCACTGTGTGTGTGTGTGTACGTGTGTGTGTCACTGTGTGTGTGTACGTGTGTGTCACTGTGTGTGTGTGTACTTGTGTGTGTCACTGTGTGTGTGTGTACGTGTGTGTGTCACTGTGTGTGTGTGTGTGTACGTGTGTGTCACTGTGTGTGTGTGTACGTGTGTGTGTCACTGTGTGTGTGTGTATACGTGTGTGTCACTGTGTGTGTGTGTACGTGTGTGTGTCACTGTGTACGTGTGTGTGTACGTGTGTGTCACTGTGTGTGTGTCACTGTGTGTGTCACTGTGTGTGTGTCACTGTGTGTGTGTCACTGTGTGTGTGTGTCACTGTGTGTGTGTGTCACTGTGTGTACGTGTGTGTCACTGTGTGTGTGTACGTGTGTGTGTCACTGTGTGTGTGTACGTGTGTGTGTCACTGTGTGTGTCACTGTGTGTGTGTCACTGTGTGTGTGTGTCACTGTGTGTGTGTGTCACTGTGTGTGTGTCACTGTGTGTGTGTGTGTCACTGTGTGTGTGTGTGTGTCACTGTGTGTGTGTGTGTGTCACTGTGTGTACGTGTGTGTGTCACTGTGTGTGTGTGTGTGTGTCACTGTGTGTATGTGTCACTGTGTGTGTGTCACTGTGTGTACGTGTGTGTCACTGTGTGTGTACGTGTGTGTGTCAGTGTGTGTGTGTGTACGTGTGTTTGTCACTGTGTGTACGTGTGTGTGTCACTGTGTGTGTGTGTCACTGTGTGTGTGTACGTGTGTGTGTCACTGTGTGTGTGTGTGTACGTGTGTTTGTCACTGTGTGTACGTGTGTGTGTCACTGTGTGTGTGTGTGTCACTGTGTTTGTGTACGTGTGTGTGTCACTGTGTGTGTGTGTGTACGTGTGTGTGTCACTGTGTGTGTGTGTACGTGTGTGTGTCACTGTGTGTGTGTGTACGTGTGTGTGTCACTGTGTGTGTGTGTGTATACGTGTGTGTCACTGTGTGTGTGTGTACGTGTGTGTGTCACTGTGTGTGTGTGTGTGTACGTGTGTGTCACTGTGTGTGTGTCACTGTGTGTGTGTCACTGTGTGTGTGTGTCACTGTGTGTGTGTGTCACTGTGTGTGTGTGTGTCACTGTGTGTGTGTGTGTGTCACTGTGTGTGTGTGTCACTGTGTGTGTGTGTGTCACTGTGTGTATGTGTCACTGTGTGTATGTGTCACTGTGTGTACGTGTGTGTCACTGTGTGTGTACGTGTGTGTGTCACTGTGTGTGTGTGTGTGTACGTGTGTTTGTCACTGTGTGTGTGTCACTGTGTGTGTGTCACTGTGTGTGTGTACGTGTGTGTGTCACTGTGTGTGTGTGTGTGTACGTGTGTTTGTCACTGTGTGTACGTGTGTGTGTCACTGTGTGTGTGTGTGTCACTGTGTTTGTGTACGTGTGTGTGTGTCACTGTGTGTGTGTATGTGCTTGTGTGTCACTGTGTGTGTGTCACTGTGTGTGTACGTGTGTGTCACTGTGTGTCACTGTGTGTGTGTACGTGTGTGTGTCACTGTGTGTGTGTCACTGTGTGTGTGTACGTGTGTGTGTGTCACTGTGTGTGTCACTGTGTACGTGTGTGTGTGTGTGTGTCACTGTGTGTGTGTCACTGTGTGTCACTGTGTGTGTGTCACTGTGTGTGTGTATGTGCTTGTGTGTCACTGTGTGTGTGTCACTGTG